CCCCCGTTCTGCCATGCAGGGACACACAAAACACTCCGGACAGATGGACATCCAACTTCTGTTTGAACAGCTCCTCGTGTTAGGAAGTTCTTCCTAATGTTGAGGTGTAATCTCTTTCCCTGTAGTTTCAATGCCATAAAGGTGTCATAAAAGTCAGACAGTTTCCTTTACGTTTGTTGCTGTGCACTTTTAAGTCAATTTTCCACTTATGGCAACCCTAAGGCTAAGCTATCATGGGGTTTTCTTGGCAAGTTTCTTCAGAAGGGATTTGCCATCGCCATCCTCTGAGTCTGAGAAAATGGGATTCATCCAAGGTCACCCAGTGGGTTTCCATGGCTGAGCTGGGATTTGAACCCTGGTCTCCAGAGTCATAGTCCAACTCTCAAACCACTACACTGTGCTGGCTATAACATTGTTGAAATTGGAACAGTTTTATACAAGTAAATTCAACATTTGTGAGAGCCAGTGTCGATTTTAATTATAATGTAGTTTAATAATGTTTTAAGGGGGGAGGGAAAATGTTTGTTTTATGCTGTATGTTATTTTATGCTGTAAACCGCCTGGATTGGGTTACCAATGGGATTACTATTATTATTATTATTATTATTATTATTATTATTATTATTATTATTATTAAGCCGAGCATTGCACTATGAATAGAGACCAGGGTTTGAATCCCGGCTTGGTCAAGTAAGCCCACTGGGTGACCTTGGGCATGTTGCACTCTCTCAGCCTCAGGATGGCAATGGCAACCCCCTCTGAAGAAACTGCTGGAAGATCTTTGCATTCTTCCCCCCCCCCCCCCCTTAGATAGACAGGGATTCCTGCTTGCAAACTCCTCCTTCCCTCTCTCTCATTCAAACTAATCATGTAACTTAGGTCACTCCTTTTTTGGGAATAACTGACCTCTCTCAGGATTCTCAGCTGAGCTTTTTCCAAATTCCTGCTCTCAAAAAGATGTGAGATTTTCTCTTTTCACCTGAACCATCACTAGTTAGGTTAGGATTTAGTTTTTTGTGTAAATATAGAATAAAGCTATCATTGTTTTTTTGAACTACAAGCTACGTGTTTGTGGGTTTTGAGTCAGTCTTATTTCTTTAGGGAAGCTTAGGCAAAGTCACTCTTCTGCTACTCTGTTAATTGAAAGCCAGACTCTAACAGGTTTGGCTTTTGATATTTAAATATATTTGTTTCCTTTTAAAAAAGGCTGAAGCCTTAGGAGATCACTAAGAAAACCCCTTGATAGAGTCGCCATAAGTCGGAAACAAATTTGAAGGCACACAATAACAAGAAATGCAATATTTAACTCAATGCATTTTTTTACACATAAAAAAATTTCAGAAGAGGGGAAGGAGGAAGGATCAGAGTCTCCAAGTCTTGTGCCCCCCTTGAGCAAGTCTAATGCCCTTTCTGGGGATCCAGCCCCACTGTTTGAGAACCACTGCATTACTGTATATTTAAATTGCCAGAGATGGAGGGAAAGAGGTGTTTATGGGTTTTTATGTCCCAATATCTTGGCTGATTTGGGGTACTATACACTTGACTTGGGTGGATGGGATCACCATTGTATTGTTCAAGGAGGAAAATCTCTTGGGCCATCTTTGCTCAGTGGCTTCACTGGAATGGAGACATATTGGATTGCAAATGGATTTTAAATTTCCTGGACTTTGGAAATCTCCCTATAGCCACATGGCAGAAGGAGGAGGAGCCTGCCTACAAAAGATATCCTCCTCACCATACACCATCTTAACTAAAAACTGAAACAACATGTAGGCAGCTGACTAACATCTCCAATTGTTTTTCTCCTGTTTGGTTTGTAACATCTTGCCTGATGAAGAAGCCCGTGAACCTTTGAAAGCTTGCAACAAGTATATTGTGCATTTTAGTTGGTCAATAAAGGTATCATTGATGGATTTTTGTTTGAATTTGCTAAATGGCCAACACAGCAACCCCTGAATGATAGCTATTTAAGTGAAGACTTTGAAGAAAAGGAAGATTTCATTTTTCACACACACAACACCCAAAATATCAAAGAATGTGTGTCTGCAAATATCATGGCCATTGTTCAAGGCTAGCAATATGCCATAGTTAGGGTTTCTCTCTCAAGGGCTGGGCATGAAATTGTCAATTATTTAATTTATCATCATCATCATCATCATCATCATCATCATCATCATAATCTTAACTACCATATACCAGAGCTTTCTTCTTCAGGAACCAAAATGCCTGACATTGCCAAAGACTTATTCTTGTTTTATGAAATACTGGCTTTTTCCTGTCTTGAGCTCCTGTTTTAACTTGCTGCTCCTTGCATAAAGATATCCACCTGATAAGATCATTAATAAGATAATCGCTTGCTCCATAATTTCTCAGTATGAGTAGTCAAAAAAAGGCACATGTGGAAAAGCATCTCTTAAATTATGTGCAATCTTCCTCTCTCTTGCTCTTTGAACAGTTGCCTTTTGGGGATCTGATAGTTGCTGAAGTCACATGGTTTTTTTATTGCTATATGTTACCATGCTGTAGGGCAAATTATTTATTGTTGCTGTTTGGAGTTGCTTCTGAAATTGAGCTTCAGTTTCTCTGTTTATTATTTTATTTTTTAAAATGCTTTTTGTATTTAAATGTAAGTCACCTTGAGCTTTGGGCAAAATGAGATAAAATGCTATTACAAATCAATGTTGCTAAGCACAGAATGATGTTCCTAACAATTCCCATGCAGCTTTTTTTTAAAAAGAGATGAACATCAGTGTATTTTGCACCCTGTCTCAGTTTTTTTTAATGTATACATGCTTTGAACTTTGACGATTTTTCTGTCTTGCACTAATGTACACATTGTTCCAAATGTACTTTTGTTATTAAAGACTATTGACATCTTCATGTCTGCATAGCAAGAACATGGTACTATTGTTATTGAAAGACACTTAGAAACATTTTGTGTCCAAGTCTGAAAAATAGATAGGATACAGAGTATTTCTATAGCTGCAGTTGACATATTGGGACCGCATTGCAAACATAGGATGGCTATTGGAGCACACCAGGAAATTCTAAAAGAAAATCAGCATCAGACTATAGCAAAGCCTTCGACAGCATATAGACCATGAAAGGGTATGGAATGCCCTTAAAGACATGGGAGTGCCAACACATCTGATAATCCTGATGAGGAATCTGTACTTGGGAGGTTACTGTCAGAACAGAGAACACAGAGAAACCGAATGGTTCCCAATTGGCAAAAGAGTCAGACAAGCCTGCATAGAATCATAGAGTTGGAAGAGACCACAAGGGCCATCCAGTCCAACCCACTGCCATGCAGGAACTCCCAATCAAAGCATCCCTGACAGATGGCCATCTTATCACCCTATGTATTCAACTTATATGCAGAACTTATTGTAAGAAAATCAGGCTTGGACAGAGAAGAAGGAGGAGTGATAATAGGAGGAAGGAATATCAACAATCTAAGATATGCAGATGACACCATAATACTAGCAGAAAACCTCCCAGACTTGAAGCAACTACTAAGAAAGATCAAGGAAGAAAGTGCAAAGGCAGGTCTATTGTTGAACATAAAGAAAACAAAAATAATGACAACGGAGACAAATTTAACCTAGACAATGAAGAAATAGAAGTAGTAAAAGAATTCTCATACTTGGCATCAAATATCGATAGAGACAGGGACTACAGCCAGGAAATCAGAAGAAGATTAAGAATGGGGAGAGCAGCTATGAAAGAACTAGAAAAGAGTATAAAATGCAAAAATATCCAGCTCAGCACAAAAAGTAGAATCATACAAGCCATTGTATTCCCTATTACCGTGTATGGATGTGAGAGCTGGACAGTGAAGAAAGCAGATAGGAAGAAGACAAATGCATTTGAGATGTGATGCTGGAGAAAACTGCTGAGAATCCCGTGGGTGGCCAAGAAGACAAACAAATGGGTCATAGAGCAGACCAAGCCAGACATCTCCCTGGAAGCCAAGATGACAAAACTGAGGCTGTCATACTTCGAGCATGAGAAGGGAGAATTCACTAGAAAAAACAATAACATTAGGAAAGGTGGAGGGAAGTAGAAAAAGAGGAAGGCCACATGCTATGGTTGGACTCTGTTAAGGATAACATGGGTTTAGAGGAGCTAAGCAGAGCAGTGGAGGAAAGGTTGTCTTGGAGATGTCTCATCCACAGGGTCGCCATGAGTCGACATCGACTCAAGGGCAGTTAACAACAGCAACAACAGTTGGCATATACTCTGGTATGTTCTTTTATTTGGTCCAAGATTGACATTTGAAAATCCAATTCAGGCAGGAGTCCTAATCAACTCACGGATCAATCTGAATCAGGTTCCTATTCTCCTCTTTGCAAAGGCACAAGAATGTGCTTTAAAAAAAATTGTGTTTTTTCTCTCCCAACTAATGGGAGCCCTTGTAGCTGTTTGTCTTGCACCTAACTTTTGCCTAGCCAGTTCAAGAGAAGTCCCCAGTCCTTTTCAGAATTGCTTAATATCTGCAATACTAAAGCATCTTTTCTTGGGCCAGCTTCATGTAGCCTAGGAGTATACAAATTATCCAGTGCTTTGAGAGCGACACATGATGTGTATTTTGCAGTCCTGTACTAATTAGCTGGTGACGTTAAAAATATCAAATGACCTATCTGTCGAACAAAACAATTCACAGCCTTTTCACATTGGAACTTTTTTGTTTCAGTTGAGAAACCTATTTGTGGTTATTTAAATTTTCATTGATGACATGAACAAAACCAGAGGTGGACTAACATGGAATTATATTGTTGTCTTTTGTATATGCTGAGTGATTAATTACTGGTTAAAGATTCATAAAATGGAGTTAGGGAGATTTCCTAAATTGTGTTTGAATGAACAGTCAGGTATTGGCCATATGAATTTTGGGGTATGTCAGCTTTCCCTATCAATACACCAGTTAGGCTTTTCTCCCTCTTTTCTTTCTATTGACCGCAAAGCCCAGGAAATTCTAAAACAAAGGATTCAGGATATTAGCGCTCAAGCAGATATAGCTGCGATGGCCAGTTGTAAATCCTTAACTTGGCTAGCCAAAAATAAAATAAAAAAAAATTGGCCTAGAAAAATATCTTAGACTACAGTTAATACAAAGTCAAAGAACAGCTTTCACAAGAGCCAGATTTGACGAATTAAAATCTATGGTCAGATCAGGTCAATTTCGAAAAATACCTTATCACGAATGAACATGTATTTGTGGTGCCCCCATTGTGGAGGATACTACACATATCCTATTTGATTGTAGTATATATGCTAAGGTGATATCCCATTTTTTACAATCTTATCTGGTTAGAACAATTAATTGGGATCCTACTGCTAAATTGTCTTATTTTCTCTCTGGGGAGAATTTACATTTAGCAAGATGTATGGCAAAATTTCTTATAAAAGCTGCTCTTCTGAGAGATCAATTTATTACTCAGCATGGAGTGTTGTGCTATGGTGATGAGTTTATTTAAACTTTCTGATTTTTGCTATTTCCCCCAGTTTTAGCCTGTTAAATTGTATACTGTATGTGTAGCTTATTTTGGACACCATTTTTCTTATTCAGTCATTTACTTAAATGAATATGTTTTAACCCTGATCGTTTTTAGATTTGTTTAAGAATCTAGTTTTTTTATTATTGCTTATATTTTGATACACTGTGTTCGTATTTGAAATACTATATTGTTGATACGGTCAGTCGACTAATCAATAAAACTTGTTGGAATTTGAATGATTTCTCATTACTATGTGAAATTTGAATGGTTTCTCATTACTATGTGAAATTTGAGTTTAGGGCAATGTTTAGATATGCAGGCAGTGGGTAAGACAATACCTTAACAGGTAGTCATGTCAGATCTGACAGTTGTCTTTCATGGTTTTGTAATCTTGTGGCCACTCATTGGAACATGCTTTGAGGACTACAAGTGTTGCAGAATACAAGCACATACATTCTTTGCTGGGTTATGTAGTCAGAAATGACACATATAGCTTTCTGGAGCTAATGTGTCATTTCTGGCACATTTGGTCTCGTTTCTGCAACTTTTGGCACTGGCTGCCAAAAATCTTTGAGGTTTTACTGGGCTTGTTTACCTATTTAGCTTTTAAACATTGTGGGTCTTCAGGACCTATGAGGCCAGATTCCCATACCAGGATATGTAAAATCAGTTGATAATAACATACCATGCATCCCATAACATCCTGTACCATTTCAGTAATTGCCCCAAACCATGGAACTTCCTCCTGTTGGAAACTTGTTGTTGTTTAGTGTGCCTTCAAGTCATTTCTGACTTATGGCCACCCTAAGGTTTTATGGGGTTTGTTTGCCATTGCCTTCCCCTGAAGCTGAGAGCATGTGACTTTCCCAAGTTCACCCAGTGGGTTTCATGGCCAAGCTGGGAAAGGAACCCTGGTCTGTAGCATCATAGTCCAACATTCAAACCATTACACCACACTGGCTCTCAGAAATGATGCTTATGCTTGGTAAAGTGGGAGGCAGTAGAAAAAGAGGAAGGCCACATTTCCATTGCTGAGTGGGGATTCGAACCCTTTTCTCCAGAGTCATAGTCTATTGTTCAAACCACTACACCACGCTGGCTCTTCTAATTCCCATGGGCATCTGTTTGTCGGAATCCTTTGAATGAGCTCCTTTCTATTTTAAAGAATTTATTTTCATCCCAGAGCTTTGTGAAATGAATGCCACACAAGTAACTGCTGAAGAGGGAAATTAAAATCATTCACTTTTGTGAGAGCTTCTTGTGGAGGGAAAATAGGAGTGGCTGTGGCAGGTAAAAGTTCACCTGGGCTACCTGGGCTTATTCCAAGAATAATACCAATATTGTTACCACCCATTGCCACCTGGATCAGGAGTGGCAATCATATGGTCTGTGGGCTGCGTGTTGCTTTTTGGATTGGTCCACTGTGGCCTCTGTTGGCCCCTTGAATGCTGCGACATGCTCCGTCAACTTTCCAGCTAGGAAAAAAAAAAAGACCTCAGAAATGTTTTAAAACCACTTGCAGGATTGCACAATGCTAGTTGCTGAAAGGCAACCAGAAGTGAAGGTTAACCTCTGCTCAAGCTTGAGCAGGCTTGAGTAGTGCTTTGGAGCTGCAGAGATGTTAGAAGTGGGGCAGTGCAGCTCTCTGAACTGGGGTACGACTGCCCCTTCTTTAAACCTTGGTCATAAAGACCTCTTTAAAGTTGTGAAGATCTTCTACCCAACTGCATAGAAAATGTTAGCTTCATTATGGGGAAGAAGGGAAATGACCTCCAGCTACAAAGAAAAAAAAGAAAGAAAGAAATATTTAAATAATTTGCATTTATAGAATCCTAGAGTTGGAAGAGACCACAAGGGCCATCCAGTCCAACCCCCTGCCATGCAGGAACTCAAAATCAAAGCATCCCCGACAGATGACCATCCAGCCTCTGTTTAAAGACCTCCAAAGAAGGAAACCCCACCACACTCTGAAGGAGTGTGTTCCACTGGTGAACAGCTCTTACTGTCAGGAAGTTCCTCCTAATGTTTAGGTGGAATCTTTTCCTGTAGCTTGCATCCGTTGTTCTGGGCCCTATTCTCTGGAGCAGCAGAAAACAAGCTCGCTTCATCCTCAGTTTGACATCCGTTCAAATATTAAACAGGGCTATCATATCACCTCTTAACTGTCTCTTCTCTGGGCTAAACACACCCAGCTCCCTAAGTTGTTCCTCATAAGATATGTCTCCCAGACCCTTCATCCTTTTTTGGACACGCTCCAGCTTATCTACATCCTTTTTGAATTGTGGTGCCCAGACCTAGACACAATATTCCAGGTGAGGCCTGACCAACGCAGAATACAGTGGCACTATTACTTCCCTTGATCTAGACCAGGGGTAGGCAACCTTTCCCCTTTAAGGGCCGAGAGACTTCAGCTCCCAGAAGCCTCAGCCATGTTGGCCAATAGTCCCATGTTGGCCAATAGCTCCTGGGATTCTGGGACCTGAAGTCCCTTGGCCCTTAAAGGGGAAAGGTTGCCTACCCCTGATCTAGACACTATATTTCTATTGATGCAGCCTAAAACCGCATTGGGCTTTTTAGCTGTTGCATCACACTGTTGACTCATGTTCAAAGTCTACTAGGCTTCCTAGATCCCTTTCACACGTAGTCTCATTAAGCCAGGTGTCCCCCATCTTATATCTATGCATTCATTTTTTCGCCCTAAGTGCAGTACCTTACATTTCTCCATGTTGAATTTAATTTTGTTAGTTTTGGCCCAGCTTTTTAATCTATTAAGGTCATTTTGAATTTTCATCTTGTCCTCTGGCGTATTAGCTACTCCTCCTAATTTGGTGCCATCTGCAGATTTGATAAGTATGCCCTGTATTCTTTCATCCATTGATAAAGATTTCATCCATTGATAAAGATGTTGAATAGCACTGGGCCCAGGACAGAG